CAACATTCTTTCACAGAAAGTCAAAGACATGTTACCCTGCACCTGGAGGGAAGTGTCTGGAGGAAGGTCTCCAGTTGGGATGACATTTTGATTGGGCCATGTGATGGACTGATGGGTGCAAGAGTTGGATCTTTGAATTCTCTTTTGGGGAGAGAAAATCCAGAACTCTCAGATTCGGGTTTTCCTAGATGTGCCAATATGACAACTCTAATAAAATGAAACTTTGAGAAAATGCTTGTCTCAGAGTTTATTGCTTGGAGTTTGTTGGTTGGAATGCTGACAAAGAGTCTTATCCATTACCAGAATTTAAAGCATTCAGCCTTCAGCACTCAGCCTTCCTAATGGTCCAATTCTCACAACCATAAAATGCAATTAGCATTTATTAGAGTTTGATATGGACAAGAGCTTTTTCTTAGTTATACATTGGAGACCAACTGATAGTATTAGCACAATCCTTTCAATGTATATTTGACATTGTGTGCCTGTATTCATACCTGTAACCCCCTCCAAAGAATATAAATGCAAATATTAAATAGTGTGTCCTTCCCCCAGCATTAGTTTTCCTTTCCTTTTTTTGGGGGGGGGGATTGTCCTTTGTTTGTTCAAATACTCGATAACCCTAGTCTGCCCTCAGCAAGAATGTCTAATGATGGGGATTGGTGGGCATTTTGGTGGGCAATGCATCTTGAAGATTTTGGGGTGAAAAGCTTGGATATGTATTGAGTACAGCAATTCTCCAGCCTCATAAGAAGCACTGATTTTAGGGCTGTAATTTGCATCAGATGGTGAAAAAACAACAACACACATACATGCTGATATGTGTAAGTGAAAAATAAATGTGTGTCCCTGCATGTGTCCGTGTGTTTGCGTGTGTTTGTATATGAGAACTGATACTCTTTTCTTTTTTTAAAACAGGATCCATCGAAAAAAGGTTCCCCGTATTGGCAAAAGTATGAAAAAGTTTCTGAATTCTTCTAAAATATCAGAAATATCCCCTCTAGATGATAATTTAACACGAAATCTTATCAATGGGTTGATTGCCCTTATTTGCATTTTAGGCCTGGTAGGTAATGGAAGGACAATTTACCTCTTGGCCTTTTCCATTAAGAAGAATCCTTTCACCACACTCATCCTGAACCTCTCCATCGCTGATTTTGGAGTCCTCACATCCCTCATCATGGCAGCTATAGTTGTGGCGGTCTCAACTCTTTATGCAGAAACTTACCTTGTCCAAACCTTTTTCTTCTTGTTTTTTGAGCTCTTTTCCTTCACCTATTCTGCTAGCCAGTTTTTGCTGATGGCCATCAGCCTGGACAGGTGTGTGGCTGTCCTCTTCCCACTCTGGCATCGCTGCCATCGTCCACAAAATCTGTCCAGCCTTGTTTGTAGTTTCATCTGGATCCTCTCCTTCCTGCTTTCTGTACTGCACTACATTCTGTATCAAACCAACAGCTTTGGACGTTCACCTGTGCTTTACCAGCTGATTGTGAATGGTTTACTTTGTACGCCTCTCATGGTTGTGTCCACTGTGACTCTCTGGATTCATATGTGGTCTAAATCTCAACACAATCAAAGGAAACTTCTCACCACTATCTTGCTGTCTCTCCTCTTCTTCCTCCTTCTTTCTCTCCCAATCGATGTCTTATATGTCGTTTATCATTTTGGTTTACATCGTGCTCTCCTCTTGACCATTGGGATAGGATGTGCCACTCTCAACAGCAGCATCAACCCGCTCCTTTATTTCTTAGTGGGGAGGAAGAAGAGAGGAAAGGATCAGCCCAGAGCATCGTTGAAGATAGCTCTACAAAGAGTCTTCAGGGATGAGCAGGAGAGCTCAGAAGGGCAGCAAAGTACAAAGAGAGAATTTTTGTGAAGCGTTTCTATCACTGTACATTCATGTTTGAAAGCCATAAATTATATGTGTGTTCAATAAAAAACACAATTTATTCAACAAAGTAGATAACCGCCAAACAATACAAAAAGGAAATATTGCTGCATTAATAATTTCCAAAGTGAAGATATTGATACAGAAAATGTCTGACTTCATATAAATTCTTTTTTATATCATAACATGAAATTACATGTCTGACTTCATATAAATTCTTTTTTATATCATAACATGAAATCAAATGTTTGACTTCGTATAAATTCTTTTTTGTATCATAATTACTATTAGGAATACTTCTTAGTGAATATTTCTTTTTCTAAAAAAAATGTAACTTTTATTGTATTTGCTTTTAATCCTGAAGCACTTGCTAGAAGAACATATGACTTCTCTAAAAACTTGCAAATTTGTCTGCGTAGTGAAAGAAAAGAGAAAAACATGTACACAATATATTTCCTGAAATAAAATGTGACAGTTTTGATCCTCACACATTTCAGGTGTAATGTTCATTTATATTTAATAACAGTTCATTATTAATAATTTTCATTTGTTGCATTTTTTTTAGTATTCTTTAAAGATATGTAGGTTCTATCACTGTAAGCCTTTTTTTCCTGCCATTCTTTTTGGGACCTTTCAAGTCATTATTTCTAGTTGGCACCGAAACTCACCTGTTAAGTTCTAAGAACGTAATAAATCTTTCTGTTCATTCATAAACTTCATCTTGGTTTGTATTCTGTATGGCTACTTTTGAACTAGTCCTCAATTTACGACAGTTAATTTAGTG